TCTACCCCATCACTCCCAGACCTGGCCTCCTCCATTATCTACCCCATCACTCCCAGACCTGGCCTCCTCCATTATCTACCCCTTCACTCCCAGACCTGGCCTCCTCCATTATCTACCCCATCACTCCCAGACCTGGCCAGACCTGGCCTCCTCCATTATCTACCCCTTCACTCCCAGACCTGGCCTCCTCCATTATCTACCCCATCACTCCCAGACCTGGCCAGACCTGGCCTCCTCCATTATCTACCCCATCACTCCCAGACCTGGCCAGACCTGGCCTCCTCCATTATCTACCCCTCACTTCCAGACCTGGCTCCTCCATTATCTACCCCATCACTCCCAGACCTGGCCTCCTCCATTATCTACCCATCACTCCCAGACCTGGCCAGACCTGGCCTCCTCCATTATCTACCCCATCACTCCCAGACCTGGCCTCCTCCATTATCTACCCCATCACTCCCAGACCTGGCCAGACCTGGCCTCCTCCATTATATACCCATCACTCCAAGACCTGGCCTCCTCCTATTTTACCCCATCACTCCCAGACCTGGCCAGACCTGGCCTCCTCCATTATCTACCCCATCACTCCCAGACCTGGCCAGACCTGGCCTCCTCCATTATCTACCCCGTCACTCCCAGACCTGGCTAGACCTGGCCTCCTCCATTATCTACCCCGTCACTCCCAGACCTGGCCTCCTGCCATTATCTACCCCATCACGCCCAGACCTGGCCTCCTCCATAAACTACCCCTTCACTCCCAGACCTGGCTAGACCTGGCCTCCTCCATTATCTACCCCATCACGCCCAGACCTGGCCTCCTCCATAAACTACCCCTTCACTCCCAGACCTGGCCTCCTCCATAAACTACCCCTTCACTCCCAGACCTGGCCTCCTCCATAAACTACCCCTTCACTCCCAGACCTGGCCAGACCTGGCCTCCTCCAGAAACTCAACACCTCCATTTACAGCCTGAGTTTCAGTCATTAACAGGTGGGTGGACCAGAGCACACTGACCTTCAGTGAAGCAGCGCTTGTAGGAAAATAATCATGAAAATCAAATAAGAATCTTGAACGGCAGAAGAAGATTATTTGTACCATAATCAAATAATAATCTAATAAGGATCTGGTAAAATCTTATATATGTTTTTCCTTGTCATTGGTGTATTTCCACAAAGATATGGTATGACATATTTGAGACAGAATATATGAATTATATGAATTATCTATGAATATTATAAGAAAAGTGAATGTTCTGAAAATGTAACCTCCTTAAAGGTTTCACAATTTTATTTCATTTTATATAAGTCAACATATAAAAAACAATATTTGTATATAATCTTTCATTTTGGAATAGTATAAAGTAATCCTTCTACCCCCAACCCCCCCACCACCCCACCATAAAAAAAAAAAGTGGTTGTCCCACTGGCTATCATAATAATAATATGCCATTTAGCAGACGCTTTTATCCAAAGCGACTTACAGTCATGTGTGCATACATTTTTACGTATGGGGGTGGTCCCGGGGGATCGAACCCACTACCCTGGCGTTACAAGCGCCGTGCTCTACCAGCTGAGCTACAGAGGACCACATCAATAAGTTGAACGCACCAATTTGTAAGTCGCTCTGGATAAGAGCGTCTGCTGAATGACGTAAATGTAAATGTTCAGGTATGAGCCTCCATGGTTAAGGCTGGGAAGCACCTTCTAATGGACGTTTATTTACCTACAGCTGTGCCTTCAGTCTCTCATCCAGGGTTTTTAACCAAGCCCAGTCCTGCTAAGCTTTGATACTTTACTTGACACCCAGTGTCATAACATGTTATGACACGGTCATAACCATGTCATAATATGTCATAACAGCTGACATAACTTGTCATAACCTGTCATAATATGGTCATAACACTGTCATGACCCATGTATTTACACCTGTTGTGACATATATTACGTTATTTTATGGCTGGTTATGACACCTACATAAGAGCGTCAAAACCCACATTTATTCAAAGAAGTTTACTTTCGTTTGAAAGTTTGTTTTTTAAAATAATTTGTTGTTGCTGTAATGAATTCTTTACAGTCATGTTTTTTTTAAAATCATATTTTAAATAACTTGTAGAATACACTTTATGACACTGTCAAGAACCATTATGATCATCCTGTGTCACTTTACTTGGACTAAGAAAATACACTTTATGACACTGTCAAGAAGCATTATGACCATCATAATCACATAAGTCAGTTAGGCCTATCAAGTACATGCCCTTATACAGTATCAGTTATCCGTCAAAAAGAGGCTGTTTTGCTCCTGAAATCTGCTCCTGCATTCATCCCAGTCATCAGCAACAGAGCATTGGGGTAGGTGCATGTCTGACGTCATGTGTGCACAACTAAGATTGAATCGTACTACACCGGCTCCGACGCTCATCGGATGTGGCAGGGCCTGCAAACTATTACAGACTACAAAGGGAAGCACAGCTATGAGCTGCCCAGTGACATGAGCCTACCAGACAAGCTAAATTACTTCTATGCTCGCTTCGAGGCAAGCAACACTGAAGCATACATGAGAGCATCAGCTGTTCCGGACGACTGTGTAATCACGCTCTCCGTAGCCGATGAGTAAGACCTTTAAACAGGTCAACATTCACAAGGCCGCAGGGCCAGACGGATTACCAGGACGTGTACTCCGAGCATGCGCTGACCAACTGGCAAGTGTCTTCACTGACATTTTCAACCTGTCCCTGATTTAGTCTGTAATAACAACATGTTTCAAGCAGACCACCATAGTCCCCGTGCCCAAGAACACCAAGGTAACCTGCCTAAATGACTACAGACCCGTAGCACTCACATCTGCAGCCATGAAGTGCTTTGAAAGGCTGGTCATGGCTCACATCAACACCATCATCCCGGAAACCCTAGACCCACTCCAATTTGCATACCGCCCCAACAGATCCACAGATGATGCAATCTCTATTGCACTCCACACTGCCCTTTCCCACCTGGACAAAAGGAACACCTACGTGAGAATGCTAGTCATTGACTACAGCTCAACGTTCAACACCATAGTGCCCTCAAAGCTCATCACTAAGCTAAGGACCCTGGGACTAAACACCTCTCTCTGCAACTGGATCCTGGACTTCCTGACGGGCCGCCCCCAGGTGGTAAGGGTAGGTAACAACACATCTGCCACGCTGATCCTCAACACGGGGGCCCCTCAGGGGTGTGTGCTCAGTCCCCTCCTGTACTCCCTGTTCACCCACGACTGCATGGCCAGGCACGACTCCAACACCATCATTAAGTTTGCCAATGACACAACAGTGGTAGGCCTAATCACCGACAACAATGAGACAGCCTATAGGGAGGAGGTCAGAGACCTGGCCGTGTGGTACCAGGATAACAACCTCTCCCTCAACGTGATCAAGACAAAGGAGATGATTGTGGACTACAGGAAAAGGAGGACAGAGCACGCCACCATTCTCATCGACAGGGCTGTTGTGGAGCAGGTTGAGAGCTTCAAGTTCCTTGGTGTCCACACCACCAACAAACTATCATGGTCCAAACACACCAAGACAGTCGTGAAGAGGGTACGACAAAGCCTATTCCCCCTCAGGAGACTGAAAAGATTTGGCATGGGTCCTCAGATCCTCAAAATGTTCTACAGCTGCACCATCGAGAGCATCCTGACTGGTTGCATCACTGCCTGGTGTGGCAACTGCTCGGCCTCCGACTGCAAGGCGCTACAGTGGGTAGTGCTACGGCCCAGTACATCACTGTGGCCAAGCTTCCTGCCATCCAGGACCTCTATACAAGATGGTGTCAGAGGAAGGCCCTACAAATTATCAAAGACTCCAGCCACCCTAGTCATAGACTGTTCTCTCTGCTACCGCACGGCAAGTGGTACCGGAGAGCCAAGTCTAGGTCCAAAAGGCTTCTTAACAGCTTCTACCCCCAAGCCATAAGACTCCTGAACAGCTAATCATGGCTACCCGGACTATTTGCATTGACCCCCCCACCACACCCCCTCTTTTACGCAGCTGCTACTCTATGTTTAATATCTATGCATAGTCACTTTAACTCTACCGCACATTGACTCTGTACCGGTACCCGCTGTATATAATATGTATATCTCCTCTCTACTGTTAGTTTACTGATGCTCTTTAATTATTTGTTAATGTCGGATATAATGGTGTGATGTCGGATGTAATGGTGTGATGTCGGATGTAATGGTGTGATGTTGGATGCAATGGTGTGATGTTGGATGCAATGGTGTGACGTCGGATGTAATGGTGTGACGTCGGATGTAATGGTGTGACGTCGGATATAATGGTGTGATGTCGGATGTAATGGTGTGATGTCTGTGTGATGTCGGATGTAATGGTGTGATGTCGGATGTGATGGTGTGATGTCGGATGTAATGGTGTGATGTCGGATGTAATGGTGTGATGTCGGATGTAATGGTGTGATGTCGGATGTAATGGTGTGATGTCGGATGTAATGGTGTGATGTCGGATGTAATGGTGTGATGTCGGATGTAATGGTGTTATTTCGGATGTAATTGTGTGATGTCGGTTTGATGTCGGATGTAATGGTGTGATGTCGGATGTAATGGTGTGATGTCGGATATGATTGTGTGATGTCGGATGTAATGGTGTGAGACTGCTGTAGCTTCACCACCTCTGTGTGATAAAACTAGACTAGATTCTGAGGGAAAGGAGAACATCAGAGTAGAGACTGGTAGCAAACAGTGATTAAATATTCACACTGAGTAATCACAGTTGCTCCTTCAAATCAGCTGCAGGGTAATTGTCTGGCAGAACGGCCCATCCCATCCCAGTTTCCATGACACAAGACCTTCTGGTTCTGGGTAGCTGAGCTGTAGTCTACTGTACACTACTCAACTATATGGTCTACTGATGACCGTTCTAACCCAGTAGCAGTATCAGAACAACACCAGGGTCTACCACTTACACATGCCAGGTTTCTTCTGACTATACTAGACATCATGAGATTATGACGGGGCGGAGGAGGTTCTTCTGACTAGACTAGACATCATGAGAGATGACGGGGCGGAGGAGGTTCTTCTGACTAGACTAGACATCATGAGAGATGACGGGGCGGAGGAGGTTTCTTCGGACTAGTACTAGACATCATGAGAGTATGACGGGGCGGAGGAGGTTCTTCTGAACTAGGCTAAGACCATGAGGGATAACGGGCGGGGAGGTTCTTCTACTGGACTAGACATCATGAGAGAGTGACGGGGGTCGGAGGAGTTCTCTGACTAGACTAGACATCAGGAAGATGACGGGCGGTAGGAAGGTTCTTTCTTACAGACTAGACATCATGAGAGATGAAGGGGTCTGCGTCAGGTTCTTCTGACTAGACTGACTTACTCCTGAGAGATGACGGGCGGAGGAGGTTCTTCTGACTATACTAGACATCATGAGATTATGACGGGGCGGAGGAGTTCTTCTGACTATACTAGACATCATGAGAGATGACGGGTGCGGAGGAGGTCTCTGACTAGACTAGACATCATGACTGATGACGGGGGCGGAGGAGGTTCTTCTGACTAGACTCGACATCCATGAGAGTGAAGTGGCGGCGGAGGTTCTTCTGACTAGAACTAGACATCATGAGAGATGACGGGGCGGAGGAGGTTCTTCTGACTAGACTAGACATCATGAGATTATGACGGGGCGGAGGAGGTTCTTCTGACTAGACTAGATATCATGAGAGATGACGGGGCGGAGGAGGTTCTTCTGACTAGACTAGACATCATGAGAGATGACGGGCGGAGGAGGTTCTTCTGACTAGACTAGACATCATGAGAGATGACGGGGCGGAGGAGGTTCTTCTGACTAGACTAGACATCATGAGAGATGACGGGCGGAGGAGGTTCTTCTGACTAGACTAGACATCATGAGCGATAATGGGGCGAAGGACGTTCTTCTGACTAGACTAGACATCATGAGAGATGACGGGGCGGAGGACGTTCTTCTGACTAGACTAGACATCATGAGAGATGACGGGGGGGGGGGGGGGGGGGGGGATGCTGAGGCTGAGTGGTGCACCTGGTAGCTGTCTTCCTCCATGATGATTATGATGATGATGATGACGATGTCAGTCTTCTCGGCTGTGAAGGTATATTATTACACACAGCTGTGTGTGTGTGGCTGTGTGTGTGTGGCTGTGCTGACGGAGGCTGAGCTGAGCCTATTTATATCAGTAGGCTGCACTTTGTACTGTAAAGGGATTATGAAGACTGTCCAACCTATACCCTATGGCCAAAATACATTGAAAATACTTTCGAAAATATTATGTTTTTTGGTGAAAAAAACTTATTGTGCACGATGGGATAGAATTACATATAAAATATGAATTATAGGATCTCTTTGTTCGAAACAACAGTGTCTGTTGCCAGTGTCTGTTGTGCTAAAACTTGTGATATTGAGGAGTACTTGAGAGGACACAACATGAGGACTGATTGTACAGAATCATCTCTGGGAACCATTGTGTCAGTGCTGGTAAGGAACTGGAGCCCTGCCTGCACAGGAAATGGCGTTCATTTATTAAGCGTCCCCAGGGAAACCAGAGTCACCCCTGCTGGGATCTCATTTCACTGGGATTGATCCAGCTGAGATTGCTGTGCTGCATCCCAAATGGAACCTTATTCCCTATGTAGTGCACTACATTTGGTGGGGGAGGTGGGGTGGGGAGAGAGGTGGGGGAGGTGGGGAGAAGAGAGAGAGGTGGGGGAGGCGGTGGGGGAGAGTAGAGAGAGATGGTGCGGTGAGGGGGGAAACAGAGAGATGGGGGATCGGTGGGGGAGGTTGAGGAAAGACGGGGGGGGGGTGGGGAGGGAGAGGACTGCGGGAAGGGGGGGGAACAGAGAGTGGGGGGGTGGGGTAGAACGAGAAAGACGGGTGGGGGAGGGGGGTGAGAGAGAGAGTGGGGGGGGGGAGAAAGAAGAGGGGGGGAGGGGGGGAGTTGGCGAGGGGAGGCGGTGGGGAGAGGGGGGGGGAGGTGGGGGAGTGGGGAAGGAGAGTGGGGGAGGATGGGGAGCGGGAGGGATGTGGGGAGAGAAGAGTGGTGGGGAGAAGAAGGTGGGGGAGGTGGGGAGAATAGACTTTTTGGGAGGAATATGACCTTGTTGTGGAGAGAAATACTTGGGGGAATCTTGTGGAGAAGATACCTGTTGTGGAGAATATACTTGTTGTGGAGAATAGACCTTGTTGTGGAGATATACATGTTGTGGTAGAATTACTTGTTGTGTAGAATTACTACCTTGTTGTGGAGAATATACCTTGTTGTGGAGAATATTACCTTGTTGTGGAGAATATACCTTGTTGTGAGAATATACCTTGTTGTGCAGAATAACCTGTTGGAGAATATACTTGTTGTGTAGATATACCTTGTTGTGGAGAATATACCTTGTTGTGGAGAATATACCTTGTTGTGTAGAATATACCTTGTTGTGGAGAATATACCTTGTTGTGTAGAATATACCTTGTTGTGTAGAATATACCTTGTTGGAGAATATACCTTGTTGTGTAGAATATACCTGTGTGTGGAGAATACCTTGTGGGAGAATAACCTTGTTGTGTAGAATATACCTTGTTGTGTAGAATATACCTTGTTGGAGAATATACCTTGTTGTGTAGAATATACCTTGTTGTGGAGAATAGACCTTGTTGTGGAGAATATACACTTGTTGTGGAGAATAGACCTTGTTGTGTAGAATATACCTTGTTGTGGAGAATATACCTTGTTGTGGAGAATATACCTTGTTGTGGAGAATATACCTTGTTGTGGAGAATATACCTTGTTGTGTAGAATATGCCTTGTTGTGTAGAATATACCTTGTTGTGGAGAATATACCTTGTTGTGTAGAATATACCTTGTTGTGTATAATATACCTTGTTGGAGAATATACCTTGTTGTGTAGAATATACCTTGTTGTGGAGAATAGACCTTGTTGTGGAGAATACACATTGTTGTGGAGAATATACCTTGTTGTGTAGAATATACCTTGTTGGAGAATATACCTTGTTGTGTAGAATATACCTTGTTGTGGAGAATAGACCTTGTTGTGGAGAATATACCTTGTTGTGGAGAATATACCTTGTTGTGTATAATATACCTTGTTGTGGAGAATATACCTTGTTGTGTAGAATATACCTTGTTGTGTAGAATATACCTTGTTGTGGAGAAATAACCTTGTTGTGGAGATATAACCTGTTTGTGGAAGAAATACCCCTTGTTGTGTAGAAAAAACAAATTATACCTCGTGGAGAATATACCTTGTTGTGGAGAATGACCTGTTATGGGAGAATAGACCTTGTTATGGAGAATATACCTTGTTGTGGAAAATAGACCTTGTTGTGGAGAATAGACCTTGTTGTGGAGAATATACATTGTTGTGTAGAATATACCTTGTTGTGTAGAATATACCTTGTTGTGTAGAATATACCTCGTTGGAGAATATACCTTGTTGTGGAGAATATACCTTGTGTGGAGAATATACCTTGTGGTGGAGAATATACCTTGTTGTGGGAGAATAATCCCTTGTTGTGGAGAATAGTACCTTGTTGTGTAGAATATACCTTGTTGTGGAGAATATACCTTGTTGTGGAGAATATACCTTGTTGTGTAGAATATACCTGTTGTGAATTACTGTGGAGAATATACCTTGTTGTGTGAATATACCTTGTTGTGGAGAATAACCTTGTTGTGGAGAATAACATTGTTGTGGAGAATATACCTTGTTGTGTAGATATACCTTGTTGGAGAAAATCTTGTTGTGGTAGAATATACCTTGTTTGGAGAATACCTTGTTGTGAGAATATACCTTGTTGTGTAGAATATACCTTGTTTGGAGAATATACGTTGTGAGAATATACCTTGTTGGTAGAATATACCTGTTGTGGAGAATAGACCTTGTTGTGAGAGAGAATAGACCTTGTTGGGAGAATAGACCTGTTTGGGAGAATATACCTTGTTGTGGAGAGATAGAATTACCTTGTTGTGGAGAATATACCTTGTTGTGGAGATAGACCTGTTGTGTAGAATAGACCTTGTTGTGTAGAATAGACCTTGTTGTGTATAATATACCTTGTTGTGGAGAATAGACCTTGTTGTGGAGAATATACCTTGTTGGAGAATATACCTTGTTGTGTAGAATATACCTTGTTGTGGAGAATATACCTTGTTGTGGAGAATATACCTTGTTGTGGAGAATAGACCTTGTTGTGTAGAATAGACCTTGTTGTGTAGAATATACCTTGTTGTGGAGAATAGACCTTGTTGTGGAGAATATACCTTGTTGTGGAGAATAGACCTTGTTGTGTAGAATAACCTGTTGTGTAGAATAACCTTGTGTGTTGTTGAAATAACTTGTTGTGTAGAATATACCTTGTTGTGTAGAATATACCTTGTTGTGTAGAATATACCTTGTTGTGTAGAATATAAATGTTTGTGTAGAATAGACCTTGTTGTGGAGAATATACCTTGTTGTGTAGAATATACCTTGTTGTGTAGAATATACCTTGTTGTGTAGAATAGACCTTGTTGTGTAGAATATACCTGTTGTTTTGTAGAATATACCTTGTTGTGTAGAATATACCTTGTTGTGTAGAATATAAATGTTTGTGTAGAATATACCTTGTTGTGGAGAATAGACCTTGTTGTGGAGAATAAAATGTTGCCCAGAATATAACCCACATACATTACTGGGGAAGGGGAAACCCTTTGTAAAAAAATTTAATGAAAAAACCCTGAGATGGTTTTTCATTGGATGATAAAAAGAGAAAAGTGCCCCATCCCCTAAACCCAATGTTATTTTGGGTTCCCAAAATATTTGACGCTTTAATGTTATCTTTGGGGGGTTTGTTTCCAGTCAATTTCCCCCCTTTTAAAATCTGGCCCCCTTCCCAATCCCCAACATTTAGCAGGGAATTAAGCAAAAAATTTTGGAGCTGCAAAAATAAGTTCTAGGAAATATTAAAAAACAGGTTTTTTTTTTTTTCCCCTCCCCCTTATGGACCTAACGCTTTCCCGGGTTTGTTTTTGGGAAAATGGGAAAGGGGGTGTTTTTTTTTGACAGTTTTTTCCAAATTCGGGCTAATTAAAAGGTTGGTTCTGACGGGGCCCTTTATTCCGCAGTGGGCCAGAGTCCAGAAGTAACAGAAGTAAGGGTTTGCTGTCTGTCCTTGAAATTTGGTCCAAAAAACAGAACAGTCTTTTTTCTGTCCGAAATTTGCCCCTTAAGGGAACAGCCCTGCTGTTCTGTCTGTCTGTAATTTTTCCAGAAAGGAGGGGAACAGTTGCCCGGGGAATGGCAAGGGGCAGGGGAAAGGGACCCAAGAGCCCAAGCCCCCCAAAAAAAACCCCCTTTTTTTTTTTTTCCCCCCCCCGGGGGGGAAAAAAAATTTTTTTTCCCCTTTTTTTCCCCCCTAAAAACCCCCTTCCCCTTTCCCCCTTCACCCCTTGTTTTTGCCTTTTCCCCTCCCCCCGCCTTAGACACACCACACATTGTCTGCGTTCCAAACAGCACCCTATTCCCTTTATAATGCACTACCTTTGAACAGAGCCCAGAGGGGTTCCCATAAGGCTTGGTCAAAAGTAGTGCCACTATGTAGGGTGCCATTTGGGATGCAAACATTTACTTGGACGATCGCTCGACCCAGCAACCAGATCTAGTTTCACTCAGCAGGGCGGCCCCCCGGGGAACCCCGAAAACCCCACCAAAACCTTTAAAGGGAGAGAAAACCCCTGCCCGCCCCGGGTCGTCTGAGCTTCTCTCTCGCCCCTCTCCATCTCTCTCTCTCTCGCTCTCTCTCTATCTCTCTTTTCTCTCTCCTCTTATCCTCTCTCTCTCTTCTTCTCTTCTCCTCAACCCCAAGCAGCCCAAAGAGAACAAGAGCTTCAACTTTGATCACTCCTACTGGTCACATACCTCGGTAAGTACCTGTACCTCTGTCTGACTATCTGTGTCCTGTATGTCACCACAGCACCCAGTGAGGAGCACAACACGTGTTGATTTTGAGTAGAGACTCTGATTCGTTTTGGACAGGCACAATAGGCTCGTCGTGCTTTTAGTCAGGTTCATTTTCAAATGAATCAACCTTGTAGTTGCGTCTCGGTTTGTCCTGGTTGACCTGAAAAAGAAACTCCGGCACACTGGTATTCTAGAACACTCCACAAACAATTCAATGAATCTTTTCACCAATGTTTTGGTCAATATGAATGGTTACCTGACTCTCCGTGTTCTGTCTCTCCACAGCCCGAGGACATCAACTTTGCTGGCCAGCAGCAGGTGTACAGAGACATTGGTGAGGAGATGCTGCTCCATGCCTTCGAGGGATACAACGTCTGTATCTTTGCCTATGGCCAGACCGGATCTGGGAAGTCTTACACCATGATGGGCAAGCCGGACTTGAAGGACCAGGAAGGCATCATCCCTCTGGTATACCGGATATACTGTTACCTCCGCACCAGGGTTGCAAAATTCCAGTAAATCCCTGGTATTTCCTGGTTGGAAGCTTCCCGGGAATCAGAATGGAATAAGCAGGAAATCAGGAATCCTTCCCAACCAGGATTGCTGGAAAACCAGGCAATTTTCAGAAAGTTACCGCAATTTTGCAACTTTACTCAAGACCAATCCAACACCTAGCTCTTCATGCCTAAAGCACAATGTTACACAACGCCTATCTACGGACGGGTGTTGGAAACGAGTGCAAGCTGCACTGTGGTGCAACACATCGGAAAATGTTTTATTCAATGTGTCAATGTGTTCGTAGTCTGTCCCTGTGCAGATATACCATGTATAAATTGATAATAAATGTTCACTTGCAATCCCTTTGCTTTCTTTTCCCCCCTAGATGTGTGAAGACCTCTTCACCAAGTTCAATGAGAGTAATAACGACAATAGCAAGTCCTACTCTGTGGAGGTACGTACGTACTGTTATCGTACAAGGCCTCTCATTGGTCCTCACTGCTGCATGATGTCACATCCGGTTTTCCTGTCTGGATGCACTTCCTCTCACTAGAGTTCTTTCTCAATTAATCTTTCCTTCGTTCCAACGCATCCTCTCTCCTTACTTCCTCAAAACACATTGGAGGGGTAGAACCAAGGTCCCTTCCTTGCATTTTGAGAAGGATATGAAGGATATAAGGAGAGAAGATATGAGGAGAGAAGATATGAGGAGAGAGGATATGAGGAGAGAGGATATGAGGAGAGAGGATATGAGGAGAGAGGATATAAGGAGAGAGGATATGAGGAGAGAGGATATGAGGAGAGAGGATATGAGGAGAGAGATATGAGGAGAGAGGAATGAGGAAGAGGATAATGAGGAATGGCAGAAAGACTAGAAAGAGCTATTTGGTAATATATCCCTAACCTCCCTCCTCCTCCCTCCCTCCCTCCCTCCCTCCCTCCCCCTCCCTCCCTCCCTCCCTCCCTCCCTCCCTCCTCCTCAGGTGAGCTACATGGAGATCTACTGTGAGCGTGTTCGTGACCTCCTGAACCCTAAGAACAAGGGGAACCCTGCTGCGTCAGGGAACACCCCTGATGGGGGCCATACGTAGAGGACCTGTCAAGCTGGCTGTCACCTCCTACAACGACATCCAGGACCTCATGGACTCTGGAAACAAGGCCAGGTGAGGGGACAGATGGATGGATGGGTGGATGAATGGGTGGTTGGGTGGGTGGGTGGGTAGGTGGATGGATGGATGGATGGATGGATGGATGGATGGATGGATGGACGGGTGGACGGATGGACGGATGGACGGATGGACGGATGGACTGATGGACGGATTGATGGGTGGATGGGTGGGTGGATGGATGGGTGGGTGGGTGAGTGAGTGGATGGATGGGTGGATGGGTGGGTGGATGGGTGGGTGGGTGGATGGATGGGTGGGTGAGTGGGTGGGTAGGTGGGTAGGTGGTTGGCTCGGTGGATGGATGGATAGATGGTGGATAGATGACTTACTATGAAAAGTTTGACTTACTATGATTGTGCTATGTGGTTGTCTCACATAGCTACCTTATGATGAATACACTAAGTCGGTCTGGATAAGAGTGTCTGCTAAATGACTGTAAATGTAATTACTGTACTCAGTTCAACTGCATGTGTTTTATTCTACGGGGTGATGGGGTTTCTCAGTAGTTTAAATGGGGTCAATGCTATATATCCTGGCTCTTTTCCAATATCCCCACTAGCAATAGCACTTAGAAGGAAGCAATATGTTGAGCATGCATTCTAAATGGATTGAAAGTATAGACATTGGAAAGCAGCCTCTGTTTGAGAAGGGTTCGCCCACAGGAGGTTGGTGTCACCTTAATTGGGGAGGACGGGCTCGTTGGTAATGGCTGAAGCGGAATTAGCGGAATGGTATCAAATACATCACACATACGGTATTCCATGTGTTTGATGCCATTCCATTCGCTCCGTTCCAGCCATTATTATGAGCCGTCCTCCCCTCAGCAGCCTCCACTGGTTGGGTCTGTGTCCCAAATGGCATCCTATACCCTATTTAGTGTGCTATCTTTGACCAGAGCCCTATAGGGGGGCAATTTGGGACGCAGCCTTGGTGAGATGCAGCTGCCGTACTGCGCCGTGTTGGCCGTGAATGAATAGATTAATTAAGGACACGGTGCTCTGTCCATGAGGGAATTTACTGCACGAGAAGACTTGAACTGGCAGATCAGAATAGTTAATGAACTACCACATAAGAGACCAGCTGAGATAGACATGGAACCAGGACACTCCAGCAGACGGACAGGACAAATGATCATGGGAACAAAACAACGATGAATTATTAAAAGTTCCAGACTTGTTGGGTGGGTGAGCACTTGTCCATGCTGCAACATACTACAACCATATTCCATAGCCCTGTCAATGATAAATTATTAATTAATTAATCAATGAATTAATTGATTTCTCTATACCTGGCAGTTCCGTGACCTTGAAATCTCCATTGACTTACGAACATGTACTATCCTGATCTGTAGATGTACACACATCAATTGAGATACATCAGTGCTGTTTAGCCCAGTCAGACAGCTCTGTGCTCTGTCCATCCATCCACCCCTCCACTGATCTCTGTCCATCCATCCACCCCTCCACTGATCTCTGTCCATCCATCCACCCCTCCACTGATCTCTGTCCATCCATCCACCCCTCCACTGATCTCTGTCCATCCATCCACCCCTCCACTGATCTCTGTCCATCCATCCACCCCTCCACTGATCTCTGTCCATCCATCCACCCCTCCACTGATCTCTGTCCATCCATCCACCCCTCCACTGATCTCTGTCCACCCCTCCACCCCTCCACTGATCTCTGTCCATCCATCCACCCCTCCACTGATCTCTGTCCATCCATCCACCCCCTCCACTGATCTCTGTCCATCCATCCACCCCTCCACTGATCTCTGTCCATCCATCCACCCCTCCACTGATCTCTGTCCATCCATCCACCCCTCCACTGATCTCTGTCCATCCATCCACCCCTCCACTGATCTCTGTCCATCCATCCACCCCTCCACTGATCTCTGTCCGTCCATCCACCCCCTCCACTGATCTCTGTCCGTCCATCCACCCCTCCACTGATCTCTGTCCATCCATCCACCCCTCCACTGATCTCTGTCCATCCATCCACCCCTCCACTGATCTCTGTCCATCCATCCACCCCTCCACTGATCTCTGTCCATCCATCCACCCCTCCACTGATCTCTGTCCATCCATCCACCCCTCCACTGATCTCTGTCCATCCATCCACCCCTCCACTGATCTCTGTCCATCCATCCACCCCTCCACTGAGGTGTCAGTATCGAACCGTGTTCTTCCACTGTGTTATTCTGTCAATACAATAAGAGGGGAAAATGGTTGTATTGACAGATGACTCCGTTCCCTCTACTACAACACTCTTCGGCTATATCCCAAACGACACCCTACTACCTATATAGTGCACTGCTTTCTAATACAAAAAGTAGTGCACTTCATAGGGAATAGGGCACCATTTGGGATGCTGATATCCTCTCAACACAACTTTCTGCTGCTTGTCCAGAGCTTCAACTTCTCTACAAATTAGCACATTCTCTCTCGTCTCATTAGCTCTAAATTAAAAATCGCAATTAGACAGTAGCAGAACCAGCCGTTGACGAACCGGCTTAAACCACCTCAAATTTAATGTAGTGCCCCATTAGGCAGCTGATAATTGATGTTTTGGTTGCTAGAGAGCGTTTGGGGAAATTTGTTTTAATTGATCTGTTCTTTGGCTTATCTTGTTGCAATTAATTCCAGCCCCCGTATAAAACTATACACTGGGGAGGTTTGTGTCATTTATTATCAAGATGGATCATAGACTGGTCTCAGATGACTCAGCCATTGTTATGGGGTTGTTGTTCTTCTTCTGTCTCAATGTGTCTGTGGTGTTACATCATACAGGATGTTCTGTGGTGTTACATCATACAGGATGTTCTAGGGTGTTACATCATACAGGATGTTCTAGGGTGTTACATCATACAAGATGCTCTGTGGTGGTACATCATACAGGATGTTCTAGGGTGTTACATCATACAGGATGTTCTGTGGTGTTACATCATACAGGATGTTCTAGGGTGTTACATCATACAGGATGTTCTGTGGTGTTACATCATACAGGATGTTCTAGGGTGTTACATCATACAGGATGTTCTAGGGTGTTACATCATACAGGATGCTCTGTGGTGTTACATCATACAGGATGTTCTAGGGTGTTACATCATACAGGATGCTCTGTGGTGTTACATCATACAGGATGTTCTAGGGTGTTACATCATACAGGATGTTCTAGAGTGTTACATCATACAGGATGCTCTGTGGTGTTACATCATACGGGATGTTCTAGGGTATTACATCATACAGGATGTTCTAGGGTGTTACATCATACAGGATGTTCTAGGGTGTTACATCATACAGGATGTTCTAGGGTGTTACATCATACAGGATGTTCTAGGGTGTAACATCATACAGGATGTTCTGGGGTGTTACATCATACAGGATGTTCTAGGGTGTTACATCATACAGGATGCTCTGTGGTGTTACATCATACAGGATGTTCTAGGGTGTACATCATACAGGATGCTTGGGTGTTACATCATACAGGATGTTCTAGGGTGTTACATCATACAGGATGTCTGGGTGTTACATCATACAGGATGTTCTAGGTGTTACATCATACAGGATGTTCTGGACTCTACAGGGTTTGGTTACATCATACAGGATGTTCTATGGTGTTACATCATACAGGATGTTCTAGGGTGTTACATCATACAGGATGTTCTAGGGTGTTACATCATACAGGATGTTCTAGGGTGTTACATCATACAGGATGTTCTAGGGTGTTACATCATACAGGATGTGTTCTAGGTGTTGTTACATCATACAGGATGCTCTGTGGTGTTACATCATACAGGATGTTCTAGGGTGTTACATCATACAGGATGCTCTGTGGTGTTACATCATACAGGATGTTCTAGGGTGTTACATCATACAGGATGCTCTGTGGTGTTACATCATACAGGAGCATGTTCTAAGAGCTGGTGTTACATCATACAGGATGCTCTGTGGTGTTACATCATACAGGATGTTCTAGGGTGTTACACATACAGGATGCTCTGTTGTGTTACATCATACAGGATGTTCTAGGGTGTTACATCATACAGGATGTTCTGTGGTGTTACATCATACAGGATGTTCTAGGGTGTTACATCATACAGGATGCTCTGTGGTGTTACATCATACAGGATGTTCTATGGTGTTACATCATACAGGATGTCTCTGTGGTGTTACATACATACAGGATGTTCTAGGGTGTTACATCATACAGGATGCTCTGTTGTGTTACATCATACAGGATGTTCTAGGGTTTACATCATACAGGATGTTCTTGGTGTTACATCATACAGGATGTTCTAGGGTGTTACATCATACAGGATGCTCTGTGGGTTACATCATACAGGATGTTCTAGGGTGTTACATCATACAGGATGCTCTGTGGTGTTACATCATACAGGATGTTCTAGGGTGTTACATCATACAGGATGCTCTGTGGTGTTACATCATACAGGATGTTCTAGGGTGTTACATCATACAGGATGTTCTAGGGTGTTACATCATACAGGATGTTCTAGGGTGTTAACATCATACAGGATGTTCTAGGTGTTACATCATACAGGATGTTCTAGTGGTGTTACATCATACAGGATGTTCTATGGTGTTACATCAACAGGATGTTCTAGGTGTTACATCATACAGGATGTTCTAGGTGTTACATCATACAGGATGTCTCTGTGGTGTTACATCATACAGGATGTTCTAGGTGTATTACATCATACAGGATGTTCTGGTGTTACATCAACAGGATGTTCTATGGTGTTACATCATACAGGAGTTTAGGGTTTACATCAACGATTTGGTGTTACATACAGAGCTAGTTTACCAAAGCGGATCTACAGTGTCTAGGTGTTACATCATACAGGATGTTCTGGGTGTTACATCATACAGGATGTTCTAGGGTGTTACATCATACAGGATGCTCTGTGGTGTTACATCATACAGGATGTTCTAGGGTGTTACATCATACAGGATGTTCTAGAGTGTTACATCATACA